GTGTTTCCATTGAATATATTCCAGAGACATCCTGTTGTATTGCTGAATCTGAAATAAATTTTTATCAAGAAGTATCTGATCAATCGATGAAAGCAAAGGAAATATTTTCAGCTTATAGTTTAAAATATACTCAAAAATTTATTGGAATTGCACTGATGGAAAAAATCAAGCAATAGAATCATTGGATCACTCTTTATCATCTTTTGCAAATTATAAGAATGTTGAATTTATGGTTCATCCTGGTTATAGAACAATAGGATAGAACTATTAATTTCGTCTATGTGATTCAGAAGGAATATGACAAGAATCGTGTTCCCTCTGTAACAAGATTTTCCTTTCCACAACTCAGATGTAGCTCGTATAAAAGAAATAGTTTGCTAATTTACGCAAGCAAAGTTTGAGTTGTGAAATTTAAAATTGGATATTGAGCGTTGGATAGATTGCCAGTAATATCAAAGTGTGCGGTATATTTGCGAATACGTCAATGTTATTTTTACTCAGCTCTACTTCAAAAGGTTGATTTTTAGAGTTCCGTGTGCCTTGTTTTTTATCAGTAACAATTTATTTTACCTCAAACTCGTACTTTTGACTTCGAATTAAACACGAACCCAAAGTATATTGCTTTTCTTACCCATACTTTTGTATATTGTGTATCATTAGACTGTTACTTTGTATCAGTCTTGTTTAACTGATTAAAAGCCTATTTTGGATGCGTATTCTTAGCCCCTTGGCTTCTCTGGTGAATGTGAAGCCACATCCAAAATATGGGAGCCTCTTGAAGCGATGTAGTAAATTACGCTATAGATAGCATTCCTTCTTACTGATAATATGTGAATGAAGTATGTACTCCTAGACTCTCTTCTGGCAGAGTATTTGCCACAACAATTTCACTACTCCAAGAATTCGTGTCAGAATAGATGTTTCACACTTAAGATGAATTCAGAAGATGCAAAAGGTTATTCGGGATTATTACCAAATTTCACAACATTCCTTGAGAAACTAAAATTTCACCCTGTATAATACGAACGGCTGAGAGGCTTTTAGTAACTTTCAACTACTTCTATAGGTTATTTGTTAAGTGCATGTTTATGAGCTAACGATTGTGACTGTTTCCAGGGTCTTGTAGTCATAGCCAGGTTCTATGGCCTAATTAGGTAGTGTTAAAAATTCTGATGTAAACGAGAACAAAGTTCTAAACATACGAAGCTACTACATTGTTGGTTATTATTTATGCCTGTTGTCTTCGATCGGCAGCCTATGCCGACCAGATCACTCCAATCAACTGTCATGATCTCTCCCTTCCAGTCTTTCCCAAATGATACTCACTTCTCTGACATCTGACCCCGATTCTCAGCGCAACCGTTTTCTTTGCCTCTTCCCCGCTTTTCTTGACTCCAAGATAGGGCTTGACTATATGCAGTTTGATTTTCATACAGTGTCACTTATCGTCTCGAGTGTCTCCTTAATTTCCGGCTCATATGAAAGCCGGTCTGTTCGCTGACACAATGGGTTCTTCTTCATGGTGTCTGGCTAATGGATATGGAGCGTTTTGTCTGAAGAGCTGTTTATAAAAACCTGTTACTTTTTTCATGTTGGTTGTAGTAGTTTTCCATGTTTCATCTGCCCACAATAAAGCTTTCAACGTTCTTGTTAAAAATTCTGGCTTTGGAATGCGTTAACGAGTTGTCCTCCAGACACAACTTCGCATTTCAGTCACTCGTAAGATTTCCACATGATGGTGACAGTCTCGTCAGGTACTCCATAATGTTGAGGGAGGTTCCACGAAAACTTCCTATCTACACTGTCGAATGCTTCCTCGTAGTTGAAGAAGCTGATGTATAGTGACGAGCTTCATTCAATCGGTTGCTTGGCGATGATCCAAAGTGTCGCAATTCGGTCGGCACATAGTCGATCCACACGGAATTCGTTTTGTTGATCTTAAGGTTGGATGTCCATTGAATTTTTTCATTTGGTCTCGCGACACTGTTGGAAACTCTCTTGTACTGATAGTATTGTGATGCATCCGTAATTCTCGCACTCGATCAAATTGCCCTTCTTTGGTATCCTGTTCAGGTACCCTTCTTTCTGGTCTGTTGGTATTTATTCTTCCTCCTAAATCTTTCCCAAGAGAACGTAAAGCATCTTTTCAGTTACCTCTATATCTGGTTCTGTTATTCCGTCATTCTTGATTTTTTTAAATTACTTTGCTGATTTCTCATGTTGTTGGTGCATTAACATCTATACAAATGCCCGTGTGGGTTACTTTGATATCCGGTGGGATTTTGACGATGGTCTATTCAAGAGCATTTTAAAGTGTTTTACCCACCTGTTTTGCTGTTCTTGAATTTCATTGATTGGCTTGCCGTCGTTGTCCATAGTGGTGCCTCTGGTTTTCCATATTTTTTCTGCTAGCTCTGCTGCATCACATAGTTTTCTCACATTTTCTTCTCTTGCGGCTTTCTCCGCCGCAACTCTCTGGTGCTTTAAATATTTTCGCTTGTCAGATCTGTAGCAAGTCTTCACTCGTTTGTCTATGTTCATATAATAATCCTATGCCTTGAATTTCTTTGTTTTCGTTTGACCGTTGTTGATTGCTGTTTTTCGCTTTTTTTTGTTTCTTGGATCTTGCTCAAGGTATCTGTAGAGATCTTTTTATTAATAATTACCTGTAGTCTAATAGATAACATCAAGGTTTTATTCCATAGCACGCAATTCGGTGTCATGCAAGGGTTAGGTTTTAAATGATATCACAAACGTGTGTGTAAACTCTCCTTAAAACGAAAATATGTACGCTTTGTAATTGCCCATAACTGACATATACTAATAGGCTCGGTTTGATACTTTGAGTTAAATGGTATTCAAGGATCTTATACTTTATCTCCTCTTAGCCAGTCCTACTAACTGATATTTTGTTCTTCCAAGTTTGTATGATCAATATGTAGGTTAGTAATTTCCCATACCCGAGAACTGTCTTTTACAATGTATATGCAAATTTCAATCAACAGTTTTTTTTCTCCCGGATGATGTTTAAATCGTGCTCTCCTGTGTTATTGATGTAAGCTGTCTATGTTTTTTTTATAATAGCACTTGAATTTTCTAACCGCTGTTGATATTTTAGAGGGAAGCTTGTGATTATCCACCCTACAATTAGTATCATTAGTTTTGTTTATCTAATAAGGTGAGCCAAAGATAACGGATGCCTTTGCTGCAGTTGGAACGCTAAAAACAATGCTCTCGAGAGTAACACTAACGAAGCTTACGAGTTTCTGAAAATTTCGAGTGAAAAGTCGAACTTGCTTTCTGCATGCGTATTGATGCTCCTCATTCGGTTCATCCCAGTACCTATCTTATGGGTGATGAGCGAATTGATTAAATCTACAGACTGTATCAGTTATTTCAAAACATGGGTCGACCCTAATAATAGTCCCCAACAAAATTTGAGCATCACAGAGGTTTAACCGGCTTCCATAAACTCCCACATATGCTGTGAATACGATGTTCAGCTGTTTACCAGCAGGCGGATATATGGCTCCATAGTTCATTCAATTCTGTTATATGGCTTTTATATATAGTCATCAACGATAAGACGTCTACATCTACCACGAGTATTCAGTCACAAGTATAGTAACAGAACCATCAGGTAAATTATATCAAGTGCAAAGTTTTAGACAAATGAGAATTACTTAATAACATCTAAAAGTCGTGGGGAGACATAATATGCTGGCGTGTCGCTTTCTGAAAGTTATTTATATTACATCCATGAAAAATTGGATCTATCAGTCTGTACGTTGGTGAATGATTTCATTCACTTAGAGCAGTTTCAAATTTTTCTTATTAAAAGTAGGAAAGTGATTAGTTTATATCCAGTTTTTCATTTCTTAATCCAGATAATAAAGAAGGTTTCTACTTGTAAATGAATGTCAAAGTTATGGTAGTTATTGCCACGGGACAAATCGTCAGTTATTCACCAGTTTAGTGGTTTAACAAAGACTTCTTTTACGTATTTCAGATCTTTCTTAAATATAGTCTCATGCTACAGGCCACCACTAACCACGGTGATATCTATTTTGTTCAGTAAACGTGAACACATTCACTTTCCTAATTACTTTGTTAATTCTTTAACATCCGTTTGAGATGAAGTGCTTGTTTGTCTTACCATATTTAGATTGTAAATGCTTTTTAAACTACCATATATCTGTGGTTAGAGTAAAAATTACTTTTAATGGTAATTATTGTAATAGTAGCCTGCTATTCATTCTTCGATAACTTTATAGCATTCATCTATGATTGGTTAATAAAATAGTATATTTTTATGTATTATCTGATTGACTTTGACTGAAACATTTCTACCTATCAAATGTGTTGTCAAATTTATGTCTAGCCACATACTAAAAACATTAGAATGTAGAAAGAAAATTTTCGTTTTATCTAACAGTTTTACTTAAAAAAACCTAATTATTATCGAAGTTCATATAATTCCTGTCTCATGTTTGCTAGCTCACGTCGTATATTTTTGCGTCATTGTCATCATCTGTTTCGTTTTTCGCAGCTTATGGATTGTACTCAAAAATTTCTGTTATTCATCTATCTTTCTTAGAAAGGGACTTATTTTATAGTCTTCTAATTGATAGATAATTTGACTTCAACTTTAGTTTGATTAGTTTAAAAAAAATTTCAATGACTATTAAATAAAACACTACTGGTGTTTTAAATTGAGATTTTATTGTAGTTGCAAATCACCAATATTGTGTTGTCATATCAAGTGGTTTTATCTTTCTAAATTGTTTCTTTTTAGTTGTTTAAATGTCAATTGTGTTTTTGATGCATACATACATATCTTCAATGAATTGTGTAATTGAAAATGATCTCGTGTACAACGAATGTCTGCTAATGGTATATGAAACATGTATTAATCCATCAATATTTAGTACATAGTTTGAAAAAAATATATAGAATATACTGTACAGTAAACTATTATAATACTCGGGTGATTTATCTGTATGCTTCTTATTGTTAATTTATCCAGTTCATCATCGTTTCTTTCTCAAATCACGGTGTATAACTATTTTTCCAATTGTATACTATCAACAATTCGGAGATTACGTCTGTTGAACACTAAATATCAATCTATAGCATTCACGTTATATTTTACTGTTGAAATTATTTCCTTTACATCATTATTTTTATTAATTTCGGTAAGTTATGTATTTATCATTTTAATCATATGTAGTAGTTTTTTTTTCTATGACATTTTACAATGTACTTGTTATTAACCAATAGTTTTAAGTGGAAAAAATCCATTTCCCTGTAGAACTGATTAGTTTAAAGCGAAATAAGTGAAAAAAGAAAAATTAAACACAGCTATCTGCTTGTAATAGTAAACGATATTGGTAAAATACCAAAGAGTTTCATTTCAAAAATTCTGGTTATTAAATTTTGACTCGTTTCTTGAATAATGTGGTATGGTCATAATGGTGATAATAATAATATAGCTTTAGGATGATAACAACATTCGAGCTGCTTTACAGACATAATCAGGTTGATACAAAAAACGAGAAAACATCAATGTAATTAAAGTTGCATAACTACAATATTTTATATGCTTTGGAATGTTAAATGCCACATTTTTGTCTTGGAAAATAAACAGTTCAATCACTTAAGTCCAATTTGGTTTTTTCCCTACTGCTTTCGTGATCACTATAAAATGGCTCGCATTCTTGCTGTTTGGAGCTCATTTAAATTTTATATAGATCTAGAAAAGAAAATAAGAATGTTTTCATTTCATTATCTTTTAGATTATATACTGTATTTTGTAGAGAACAATAAATCTGTATTAAAATCGATATCAACTTCCATTTTGGCTGTCTAGTAACCGACAGCCTGAAGAAACATATGCCTCCTAATCAAAGGTCATTTTCACCATGTATACAAAAGCACATTTTTAGCATAGTTTTTCAAGGATGATAGAAAAGCAGCCAAGATTTCGACTAGTAAGCATTAATAAACCTTGATAATTCAACTAAGCCAAATGCTGACTTAAGGATAGTGTATAAAACTTGTCCTACTGTTTTATAATTTCTTAATTCCCAGCTAGTTAAAACAGCAATATCTACAAGTGTCCTTGAGGAAAAGTCTGACCTCTGTGTACTGACAAAATATGTCCTGTCTCATTTTTATATCGGCCTTTATATTATTTTAATTTCATATTCCATTTTCTTCAGTCAATTTTCGTATTCGTTTGATTTTTTCATTTTGATCCTTAACATCTTGATTTTTTTGATAAAACAGAAATATTTAATTTGATTAGTTTATCTTATCCACAGTATGATCCATTGTTGGCTTCCTACTTTTACACACTCCTTAATTACGTAGATCTCGTAGATATTATCCAGCCCTTATTATTATATTTTGCATTATGCTACTCAACGTCACTACCCTAATTGCTAGATTATCATGTTTATTCTCTGCTTACACTTCCTCATAGAACCAACATTTCGAACCTCTCTCTCTCTCTCTCTATATATATATATATATATATATATATATATATATATATATATATATATATATGTAAAAAAATCCTGACCTAATTTTGGTTGGATTTTCTAGGTTTCATTAATGCACTTACAGTTTACAAACAATGTTATTTGGTGCAATAGTATTAACAAATGCTAGAAAAAATAAATTATTCTTTTCTCTATGGAAAAATAACTCGAAATGCATATCGTGGTAGAAAGAAATATGGTGATTGACATTCATCGGTATGATACAAAATCGTCATTCTTGTGGGCTGACGTCCCGATTTCAAATTCTTACTGTCATTTCTAATTAGTGATTGAATTGTAAGTGGCTACTACAATGGATGATAATGATGACCAGTCAATTTTCCAAAGGGTTAGTGATTAGTTGATTGATTATGAGGGTGTGTTTATTTTTTCTGGATAGAGTTTTCTTTTTACTATTTTGTAATTTTGTATCGATCTGGTGAATACATTTTATTGATATTGTTGTTAATTATTACTACGGTTGAGTTTCAGATTCTAATTAATTGAAGAGTTTTGTTTGTAATGAAGTACCATACTGTGAAAGTTTACTTAGATGTTTAGAGCAACTTATAACACTTATTTCAGATTAAAACGTCTAACTCTAATTCTTAAACAGTTATGGTTTTTAGGTTTAGTCAATTCGTCGCTGGTGTTTGACAGATTCTTCACTTTACTAGTAGAACTTAGAAAATCCCATGTTTTATTAGGACAGTAATTAGTAATGATTTTGCCATCCAAATATTTGATTTGTGACGTTCGTAACTTGGGGATTATTAAAATAAGATAATACAACTATCTGTAGTCTTCATCAGTTATCAACCATTCTTCATTTCACCAACGAAATGATGTCTACTCACATATGATCGTAATTACTGAAAATCAAATTCATATAGCATGTTACAAATGCGATATGGTAAAGTTTATCATGAAGTTTCTTCAAAAACTCACCAAGTAATCTTCTGATCCATTATCTATTCACCTAATACTGAAGCACAGAGACTTAAGTCATAATTCTAAAGACGAAATCTCACAAATAATGGCATAAGTTGATGCGCAGTTACGGTATTCTAGTATATATCATACAATAGTTATAATTATTAAAAATAAAAATAAAATTTAGTAACATCGTGAAGGTGTATTGGCGAGTTATGCATGAATTTTATTTAAAATACTCCTGTGAGAAATAATAATGATAGTAATCAATCCTTATTGATTCCAGACCTATAATTGTGTAGTAACTTTTTTTACCAACCGCACGTCTGTTAATTCAATTAGGAGCTACACTATTTGTCGCATAATGATACTACACGGTTACCCAAAACGACGTTGGCGAAATCGGGGTTCAAAACACCAACCTCTTGGTTAAAAAAGTGATGTTTCATCTATTAAACGACTACTTTAAACTTATGGTAATAGAATGTCTTTATTGTCTAGACTTCGAGTCTTTAGATTGATCGATTTTTTAATTTAAATTGAAACATTTATGATGAATTTTAACTTGATCTCCAAAAATTTCCCCATTCAGAGCTTCATTATCGAATAAAGAATAACTCGATCACGACTTTCATTTACTTGAAAACAATATCAGTTATAAACATTCTCTTCATAAATCATTCACTATAAAAATGTGCATACATTTAGATAAAAAAGATTTCAGGAAAAGAAATCGAAATTATTAGTAATATGGTCATAATTTTAATTTACTTTGTTCATTTCCTACTGCTAGTTTTATAAAATATCTATATTCACATAAAGTTTCAGTGTGTAAGCTGATTAAGTATATCTATTTCCACCTTAATAGATTTTACTTCATTTTATGTGTTACTTATTACATTTATATTCTTTCCATAACCATTTTACCTATCATGTGTTGTTTATTCGTTTTTCTTTATTACAATATTCTTTATCCATTTCACAATTTCGTCTTAAATTCGAAAATTGTCTTCTCTTTTTTCTCTATTAATAATTACAGTTTCTTAACATAAACACCTCATAATCTCAACTGTGTAATTTGTCTACAGTAGGATTTAATAAATGTGATTGTAGTTTGTGAATTTGTCAAGGTAGATTTTCCTCAGATTAAATGTTGACCAAATTACAAGACTATTGTCATTTAGACAAAAATGTTTTGTTGTGTTTATTTTGTTGTTTCTTCGAAGGTATATTAAGATTTATCAAATCATTTCTAGCTTACTGAAATAAGTTTATTACTGCTTCATATAATTTAAGCTCTATTAAGAAGCTAAGTCTGTAAATATCTGCGTTTAGAGAAACGTATAGGTTGGGCATAAAATGTTTTTAAGTGAACTGTACTGTCTCCAAATGTCCGGCAGAGAGTGGGGAGAGTCAGCTATCCTTCTCGAAATGCTCTCACATGGCCACGTGTATACAGCCACTGACAGGGAAGTCCTACTCACTGCCTTCTCGTGGCGGGTGTGTTGTTTACGAAATTGAGAGGATTAAAAACGAATGTCCGGCGCTTTAACAGGGTTGGTGGACACGAAGGATCTACCTAGGCGAGCTTGAAAACCCTGATTCCAAACCAATGGTGAACATGGGCTCCGGTATCCTAAGGTAACAAATGACGCATGAACTTATTTTCGGTCACCGGCTACCATGGGACTGCATCTCCCAACGTTGCTTCACTGCCTTGTGGATTAGACCTCTAGATCAAATGCCCAGGGTGTGGCCCTCCAAGAAAACCACATGTTGCGGTTTGGGCACCCGGACAGTATCCCAGCCCTCACGTAAATCGAATGATTTATGTGGTACATATATATTTAGTGTCTCCTACCAATGTTTATGTGTTTAAATAAATAAAAATAGAAATGTACTACAGCTTATTTCACATGTAACTATCTTTGAGTGTTATCGAGTATATGGTGTGACTAGAAACAGGCATAATATATTTTTAAAGACTAGATTATATTTGATCGCATTTCACATTATACGCTATTGATTGAATAACTCGTTTCAGTTGTACGTTTATCATTATTTGACTTCAATTTTAATTGTTTGTTTGATTTCTACACAGTTATTCTGGTGTATCTATCAGAAACGATGTCATGATTCTTCTGCGCAAAAGGAATCTGAACTTACAGTGGATACAGAAAAAATAATACATGTAGACAAATCTTCTTCAATACAAAAAAATTATGCTTCATTAACTAGTGCTGAAAATTTAGACAACCTTACCAATAATAAAACTTCGTTGTTCGGACTTTTAAAATTTTGCGGCATTTCTACTGATTGTTGCCCAATACTTCAATTGCATACAAAAACTCCTGACAATACTGTTCGGTTGAATTCACCTAGTGAACAATATGGTACAAACTCATTGGATGGTACTGTTGATCCAATTCAAGAATCGAAGAATTTGGAATCTGTTATAAAAAAGTCTACCGTATCACTTTCTCCATCAATTGCTAATCGTCGACATCAGACACCTCCTCCACATTTACTTACTTCTTCGTTCATGGCAACCAGTCCACCAGTTGAAACTCAGTTGTATCATATTCAACCTAAAGAATTTGTATTCAGTCAAGCATGTAAACCAATGCCTAGTTCACTTATGTTACAGAATAATAGTTTGGGTGCATTCACACTTACTCCAACACAACTTTTGAACAATCCACTCATATTAAATACATCAGCTGATGTTTTACATTCTCATTGTACACCGTGCGAATCACAGTCTGCACCATGTAGTCAAACTTTAATCGCAACGCAACCGTTACCTTTATTAAATTTACCCTATAGTCATGTTACCTGTCCCAATCCAGATACAGTTACTCAGGAATTAAATCAGTCGTCATGTACTAACACTACTAGTTGTACTGGTAGCAGTACACAAGTCCCGAAAACCTATCCAGGCATTGGATTCACTGCGAGTCGTCGAGCGCGATCCAAAGGTCTTTTGGAAAGGTAAATAGGTTTTGTTAAACCTTATCAGTATACGAGACTTTTTTGTGATTGTTACTCCCATTGAATAAAATAATATAGAGTCCGTTTAGCGAAACTGACGGACCTTACCTACATTGAGCTGAGAAATCAGCTAGTGTTATTAGTCATTACACAGTAATGTTGATATAAACCTAGTAACCATTCAGTTACAGTTCAATAAACAGATTGAAAATACTTTTGCTAGTTGTAAATTTTTTTTTCTTTAGTTCGTGTAGTTGGAAACCAACCAATTAAATGTTTAGTAAAAATATATTACTATGGTAGTTAGTTTATAGGATACAATATATATGGATGAGGCTGTAAATCTCCAACGATTGAGGCGACTGAGACATGTGTTATAGATTCTCAACCAAAATCTTCGTCGACGAACAAATGCTGGATGGAGAACAAGTAGAGATGGCCAAACTATAAAACGTTGCATCCGTGCATGAGGATACTGACTGCTGGATTTAACCGTTTTGATACGTGGAGACTACTTGGTTATGAAGTCCAAGCGATAAGCGTGATCAGTGGTTTAAGAAGTTAGGTGACATCACCTAGAATTTGTTACAATTACTCAGTTGCATTCACCCTTTACCTTCTACTGAATTTTCAGTTCCTTGTTCTTTCATACATACCTTTTATCCAAACCATATCTTCAATGTTTAGTCCTTTTCATCTTTAACATTACTTACTGGTGTTTCGCTTCCTTCTATATTAATCTTGCCAATCTCATCTCATTATGCTGATTCGGTATGGTGACGTGAGTTAATGCACATTTTCTTCACTAGAGTTTATATTAATCATGACTTACTGATATTTCTCGGTTTCTATGGAAATCTCGAGAAGAATATCGAATAATTGTTTAGTTACACTTGAACAACTTGATAGACCGAAACCTTCAGGCTTTATAACATCCAGGCTATATAGAATAACTAGGATAGATAAGTCCCGAATACACCTTGGTTCTATTCTGGACATAGCTGGATTGTTTTATAGCCCAGTTGCAAAATTAAGTAACTCAACGGCTTGAATCAATTTGATAATATGCTTGTTAATGATAATCCCGCTTACTCTGTTTAACCTAATGACTGTATATATATATATATATATATATATATATATATATATATATATATATATATATATATATATATATATATATATATATATAGCTTATGATGTTTTGTGGTAACATATCTTTACGACTGGCAGATTTTACTCATTTATTTTATTGTGGATTGAGTGTAGAACTCGCTAGTTATATTTATACGGTATGCTTTGCTTTAATTATCCGTTTTTGTTACTGATTATGCCTCGTTCATTATTCTGATCTATTTCGATTCCCTATTGTACACTGTACGAATTTTCCACCACAAAGAGATTCGCAGTTGTGAAAGTTTCTACTTTATTCTCTTTACTTGTATATGTCTTGATAAAATCGTATTCGTAGTAGTCTTCGAGAAGCCTTTATTTCTTCCCTCGATTTCAATTGAAATAAATGTTATTTTTTCTCATTTAACTTCAGTACCTTGATATTAGTGAATGTACTTAAAAATCCCTTTAAATTATATTTGAATATGTCTATTGAATACTAGTGATCAACTGTTAACAAGATATCAGACTATCATTTTATTATTATTATTATTATTATTATTATTATTATTATTATTATTATTATTATTATTATTATTATTATCTATCAGTTCTTTCTTTAATTAATAGATAATCTCGATGACATTTTTCTAATTCATATTTTTGCAATGGTCTTTACCTACAAACTAACAAGCCTCTGTATATATACCGACTAGTTTGCATAATCTTTTACTAATTTATCAAGTGATTTGTCACCTATTTGTAAGTAGATTTAATTTTAAAGCAAACATTTTTACATAGAAATTTGATATGGATTAATATGATGCTTATGTGCTTTAGACAGATAATTGTTCGTAATTATGTGTTATAAACACAATAAATGAAACAGGTGGTGTGCCGAATTTCTGCTCCTGATTATTAAGTAACAGTTTATATTACTAGTAAGTGAGTCATCCGAATAACTACCTAATTACATAATTAGATGCTCAGCTTCGATGCACACTTTACTTGAGCATTAGTGATACCATACGACTGCCTAAAGCTATTTACAAATTCTTCATAGCATTTCTGACATATTTTGTTTGACGTTTTTAAATGTGACCTCCACTTTTGCTATTAAGATGCCTTTTTATACTTCCAGAATTTTTAGATTTTTATGACTTGGATCACCTTTAACAAACACTAATCAGAGTTTAAACAGGTCGTCTTAGGGTCATAAATTACGTTGTTTTCTTTGATCACCATACTAAATTAAGTCAAATACCTGGTTTTGCTTCGTTTCACGAATTAGCAATATTTATATGGTGACATTTGTTAACTTATGAAGTTAGTCAACCTACGAAAATCGTTTCATTTAGTAAAACTATCTTCTATTAACACTTGTTTCACTAACGTCAAACTTTATGTCTCCAGCCTTTTGAATTATCATGAAACATTTATGTTTAGTTACTCGTTAATACGGAGTAATCTGTGTTATTGAGCTTTGCTTCGACCGATTTATGCAAGTAAATTGAATGCATTTTGTTCATATCTTCTGTTTTTCAGTAAGTATTTCCTATATTTCTAGCGTATTCATTTTAAATTTTCGTCTATGTAATATGTTGCTCTTACAGTACATATAATGGTCAGTATATTGTTTACAGGACTCACTTATTCGCTGAAACATATTTCTATTACTTATCAAATAAAGCTGCAAAATGTTGATGAACTATTGCAGTCCTCAACAAATTATTGAGTTTTTCTTGTCCACATCATCTGTTCTAGGTAATCAGACCTAAACCCTAGAATCAGAATGTGGTTACGTCTCGATAACATAATTTTTCCGCAATCAATAGAGAATTCACATTGGCTCCAGAATTTGAGCTAACATATTTTTGGATATCATTGATAATAAAAGTGTATCTAACAGTTTTATTCTTCAAATTAAAGTAAAAACATTAGATATTTACTACATAATTTATTTGTTTTAATGTTATTACTTTTTTTGTACAGTCGTAGAGGATCACGTACATCACTTACATTATCTTTATCTCCGTCAATTGATTCCCCTACTCCTAGCTATTCTGTAGGATCAGCACAGTTTAGTGTATTTGGTGGCAGTCTTGATGAAGATCCATGCACAGCTGAAGTTTTGTCAGAAGAAAATGAATCTGGTAATAATATTGATTCTGTTAATAATATTGATAACTCAAACATTTTACATGATAATAGTATGAGTAGTTCTAATAATAATAAACATGTAAACTCCCGGTGTAATTATTTACAATCATTAAATTCTTTTTCACACACTACAATTATATCGAAACAACAACAACAAAATTTCACGACTACTATTTCACCATTAACATCTTCATCTAGTACGTGCAATAATGGCATTGTTAATTCTCAACACAATAATTCAATTAATGATACTCAAATTGGATTAATTAATAAAGGACAATATTTTGTGAATAATCGATGTAATTACATGTGTTTTCATCATCATCACCATCATCATCATCATCGGCATCATTTTCATCATTTTGCTATTCATCATTGTAAATTAGACACTGGTTTCCCTTGTTCATTAGGCAATTTAACATGTCAACGTAATCGGGATTTAGAACAATTAATAAATGCTAGCCTACCATTAACGTACGATCAATTGAAAATTAAACTACGCGATAATTCTACAGCTTTATTTCAAGAGTTTTGGGATATTCCTATGAATCATGCAGATAAAAAAGAATTGCCTATACCTGGAATTTGTCATAAAAATCGTTATCAATCTATTCTTCCAAGTAAGTATAATTTGTATGGCTGTCTTTTAGTAATGTATTTTCTGTTCATTACTTCTAATTATCAACGAGAAATTAGTCTTTTTATATTTTTAATAAATATCTGCTCGTATCCACTAAATTGCCTATTTTTACTACTAACTAGATGATGACTGGAAATTTGTGTGAAGTGATATAATACTATTAGGTTCTAAATGTTAGTATATTTACTAATAGTTCATTGATTAAATTTTGTATTTGATTAGAAATGATCATCTTATCAAATGCGTTGTGTAGTTCCAAAGAAAACAGAATATTTGTCGATCACTAGCTGTACAAATATCCTTCCTGAAGCAATATCAATCTTTTTGGTAGTGAACAAAACTACTTGAATATATAAATAGTTTGTTTGGAGTGACTGATTTTTTGGAAATTTTGTTTTCAGTTTGACTGACCTATTTACGTATCTCATTGTTTAGAATTATAAACCACTCATGTTTTTCGTTAATAAAATGTTGTGTTGACACAAATTACCACTTTGCAATACCAGAAAGAATCTTATCAGAAATCTCGTAAATGGAATACATGACTATTATGATTCATACCGAATGAACCATTTAAAATGTCACTACGTTTCATAGTTCTGCTAGTAACGGTTTATTATATACTTGTTATCACTAAAAAACAATAAGAAAGAATTGACTCTAAGTGAGTCTATTAATCGGTTTTATTTAGTGGTGTTTCAGTATGCACTGTCGGTCAATATGATCAGTATATTGAGCCTTGAGTCACAATGATATGATGGCTTAATATAATACTGGGTGTTCAAATAGAAACACATTATGCAAGGTTTATATCTTTGCTTGGTTATTGAAAAGTTTTATGCTTAAACCACTGAACTCCGTTAAACGTATACAAATGAATCTTATACTCAATAGGTTTTCTCAGTTCATCTTTGTTCTAACATCTCATGTAGTATATTTTTACTGAAGAAACTTAGAGAAATTTATCTTCAAATAAATTACTAATGTTAATTGAATTTAAATAATTGGAAAGTAGTTTAACTTGATAGTTTCTCAGCTTTGAGGTATTTTATGCACCTTAATAATTGTTCCGTATTCTTCTATTCTTTTACCATGAATATTTCATTTAATTTCTTATTTTATTAGACCGATTTATTATATAGTTCCTAGGCTTAGGTTGTTACTTTTCTTCATTATTCCCTGTCTTTTCCACCCTCCTATTCTCTAAAATATCGTCATTAAATTTGTTTACATTTACGATGTGTTTTAATAAAAGATCGAATTGTAAATAACTAGTAAGTGTGTGAATATTGTAAGCTAATTATGTGTATAGTTATGAACTAACGTGTTTCACAAAAGTTGAGCTCCAAGACTATAAAAGATACTAAAAATGAAATCGCATTTTTATTTTTATTTTCAACGGTTAAGATCAATGTCACTACCGATCCCTGAGACTTTACAAACGTTTTCTCGTACTTGAGATTTTTAAAATTTATTTAGCAATTTATACTGGGTTTATTTATTTTGTTCTTTTTTATATTAAATTATTTAATATTCACTTTACACTTATCGGAGCTTTTTTGTTATTAGTAGTACGAATCTCTTACTTTAAGGAAACAAAATATTAAGGCGACATTTTATATTTTCAGCCACTCATTAAATGAATGCTTTTTCTTTCGATTTCGTATGTTAGTATTCTGACTGAAAAAGGAAATAACACTGACTCCTTTTCAGTCATTAAGCGTTATTTACTGGTTCTACTGAGTATTTGCACAATGATATTATTACTCTTATTCTCTAGTTGCTAATATACGGTATTTTATCTGTTGAATAGTCATAATTTTAGAATCATCCAGTTGATAGATTGTATTAACAGTAAAAAACTAGTGACGAGATTCACCTTGTGCTTTGCTGGAAATATTTGTCTTATTGACCGTTGTTGTTGTTGTTGCTAATAATAATAATAATAATAATAATAATAATAATAATAATAATAATAATAATGTAACTAACCTATCAAGTATTGTTTTACGTAATCGGCTTTAAGTGACACTTGTTTTTGGATGAAATGTGAGTTTTGTAATTTCCTGTTATCAGCAGAAATATTTAGGCTTCCTCATGAGAAATAGATACATTCTCAGGGGTATATCATTCTATTTAGTTTTTCCAGTTCTGTTGCCAAATGTAATTCCCATTCAGTAGTAACACGTTTTCTTATTGGATATTTTTTTCATTTTTACTGTAAAGTAGTAATAAAACTGATTGATTTACTAATTCAAAATTGAAGGCCATGTATATACATTACGTTAATGCTTTGTAACTATAGATTTCACCTGCCTATTGCCTTCTTTTACAGTATTAGTGGTGTAGTAGTGAACGTTATGACTCTAAAATAGCTTTCAGTCGTACTTAAACTATAACTCCGGATAACTCTTGATCCAGCCCCTAATAATTAAGAAGACAGAAGAAAAACCATTGCAACCGACGTCGATTAAGTGGAAAAGATGCATCTATTTAAAGAATTTTCGATTAGTCCTTAAAAAATTAGTCATGCAGAATTCCAGTTTTTGAACCCCATTTTCAAATACAGGCCCAAGGTTTTAAAATGCCAAATAGCAATCCGGAAAAATTCTTTCTATTCTGATTCAAACCGAATTCTTCGGGAAAGCACATTGTCCAATAACGTTCTGTCGGATGAATCCATATACCCACAAAGAATAATATATTCCTGGTTATCAACCCGAAAGTCAACGAAAATCAAATAATTCAAGGGTATACTTCAAAATGGTGATCATTGTAAACATCATATACAGGTCATCTGTTTCATAGCACATACATTTGCTATCAATAAACTCGCTTAATTGCGAGGTTCTACAACCTTCTCCGTGATGCTTGAACGACGAATACAAACATTCCTGTCAGTGTGTGTTGATATTCATTCCGATTAAAGGAATTTATTAGGAATAAGCTTTGGATAAACTAATTTAAACTTTAATATCACTACACAGAATAGTGCTCTTTTATGTATCCGTATAGTGTTTGATCTTTCCAATCAACCGATTGTAAGGGAACATTTCAATTTACAGAAATACAACGGTGAGACAACTGACATGCTGAATGGTGCACGTGGTTTCAGAAAAACTGCTTCGGTATTCGTATTTGGTGGTAGCATACAATTTTCAACCAGGTAGTGACTCGAGAAGGTTTAGATAGAACCGAGTTTCCATCATAGGCGAGCTGCTGTATAAGTTGAAAAATAAGGATACATAAAGTGGGAATAAAAGAGAGTGAGTAAATGACGGAGTAAATAATAATAATAATAATAATAATAATAATAATAATAATAATAATAATAATAATGTGAATTGTTTGACTGTAAATAGAATCATGAATAGAATTCTCAGTAAATATCGTCATTTTCATTTTATTTGTGTGCGGGCTGTGATACTCCCCGGGTGCCCAGACCGAAGCAGGTGGTTTTCTTGGGGGCCACACCCCAGCCCTTTGACCTAAAGGTCTGAGCCACAAGGGAGAGGAGCATCGTGAGGAGATGCAGTCCCATGGTAGCCAGTGACCGACGATTGGTTCATACGCCATTTGTTCCCTCAGGATACTAGAGCCCATGTGCACCATTGGTTTGGGATCCGGTTAAAGCGCCGGACGTTCGCTTTTCGTCCTATCATTTTCGTAAAGAACATCCCTGCCACGAGAAGGCAGTGAGTAAAACTTCCCTGGTAGTGGCCGTATACGCGTGGCCGTGTGAGAGCATTTCTACAGGGAGGGCGGGTCCACTCCACTCTCGGCCATACCAGGGCATTTAGGGGCCATAAATGTATCTTAACTGTAAGTAAATCCTGCAGTAACTCGCTTTACCATTAAAAAATTATCTGTAAAAGCTGATTGAATTATTTTTAAGTAAAGTGACCATTGTCACATCCCCTATCCGTTCATTTCGAATTCTCATTTATCTCTTAGCCTGTATCGTTAATGATCTCGTAAAAACGAAGATATGAATTTTGCAAATAATAAAATATTAGGAAAGAGTTGACAAATCATTGAACAATTAGTAGTGAAATAAAACTATATTCAATAAAATCTTCAGATTTTAATAACAGCAATTCGTGCATCCAATAATCACTAAAATTAATTTATCTGTTAATTTTAACTATTCACCAAATAAATAATATTACAATATAGTCCATTTACCTACATTAGTATTAGTGTTATGAATTTTCGTGATAATTAATGTTGATTGTGATATATATTTGCATTGACTGAAATAAGAAACTACATAATTAGCACGTTATGTTATTAATGCCCTGAACAAAAAGTATCACAGTTACGTATATTGCTATGGTAATATTCTCTTATCAGACTTATAGACATCAAGTATCCATGATAATTTATTAGTCATTAGGATGAATTTGATTGTATTTTACAAAACGATAGCAGTTTATGTAATTTTTGCAAACTAAGATAATCACTAAGACAACACTTTTTCTGTACTACCAAAGAAATTAAAATAGACTATTCCGAATAGAATGTCGTACAGTGTTATAGTGTATTACGGTTAACAAGGAATTTGTACTGATCTAAGTTCATAGCACACTAAAAATTATGCCGTTATTTGTATATCATAACTAAGCATTAGAATCAGTTCAGATATTTTCAATTCGTTAAGTTCCTTTGAAAATGTATTTGTTCTTTTTTTAAATTAGTCTTCCTAATGTGGTTGTATGTAAGTAAATGCAATATACATATATAATCTGATATTTTTCAGAATTACTAACTTTTAGCTTGATTACATCGGTAAATTCAAATCAATAATGACATTTTATTTAGTATAAAGTGGATTATATTGAAAGCTATAGATTAAAGCTTTAGGCTTAACATTTTTCTGTTAAAAGTCACGAATTGAAATACTGCTTCATTAATCATAATCTTCATACGTTCTACATATAGCTCATATGACGTACTTGGCTATTGAATTTCATTATTACA